CATTAAGCCCTTAAATGTTGTGTGTCTCTATTGTAAATGATTGTAAAGATTTTGAAGATAATTCCTCATAAAACCAGTTTGTATTGCTCTGTGGTCATCTTACATCTTACATTAACATGTTTAACAGTATCAGGTCTTTGAAAGGCATTTAGAAGTGATACACATAAGGAGGAGAATATATGGATGTCAACTTCTTTATTATGAGGAACAAAATGTTTAACATTTCTTGAGAATGTTGAGATATTGCCAATCAAACATAATAAGTGAAAGGTGACACAATCCTAAATTCATGGTGTCATAACTCAGAGCTCCAGATAACTTTTTGAGCAATTGAGTTTTTACTCTTGGGTTTCGATTTTAATTGAGTTATTACATTTTTCATTGGGTAACCAATATTTTTTCACTCATCTATTTATCACTCTATTGTTTTTTTCCCAAAATTAGTGAACATTTTTAGATTTTTAAAAAAATGAAATAATGTTTTCGATGTATATATACCATGATATACTGTTCTAAATACATAGGCTCGTAATTATGTCTCAGAAATTAACTCCTTTGTACGCATGCAACAAAGGCTTCATTGGGTATTTATGCGAGCTGTTTTTATTTATTTCGGTTTTTCATTTAATGCATGTGTTTTTGACTGCAAGTTAATTGAAAGTAATTGGGTTTTGAATATTTTGAGTAGGTATTTTACACAAATACGCTGCTTATCTGTAGCTCTCATAACTTCAGGATAAAACATAGCTTTTCTTTAAAGTGTGCCACCAGGCACTGATAGAGAGGTTTAGGTGTGCCCTAAGGAATTTATTAAGTGTTCCAAACCAGAAGAACATGTTTCAAAGAAAAATCATAAACCTTTACAAACTTATTTACATAGTATATTACTAGAACATATAACTTTTCATGTGTTTGTCCAGTTTACTTACTTCTTTTTCAAAATGTGATTTCTGAGCGTGTCCTTGACATTGCCTTAGGCACGGATAACATATTTTATTATTTTAGCCATGCCAGTGCCATCTTGACCTGCCTGTGTCACCTTAATACAAGCAATGTCAAATCCTGCTTTTACATGTTTACGAAATTAGTCAATATGCAGTTGATCACTATATATAATATAGTACCACTATAGGGCATACTTCAAAAACGAAAAAGCAAAGAGTTTTTGTCTATCATTTTCAGTTATAGTTTTTGTTTGTTCGTTGTTTAACGCCACATTCAGCAATATTACAGCTATATGACGGCAGTCTGTAAATAATCGAGTCTGGACCAGACAATCCAGTGAGTGACAACTTGAGCATCGATCATGGGATCGATGACATGCATCAACCAAGTCAGCGAGCCTGACCACCCAATCCTGTTAGTCACCTCTTATGACAATCATAGTCGCCTTTTACGGCAAGCATGGGTTGCTGAAGACCTGTTCTACCCCGGATCTTCAGTAATAGAGCCCACATTATTTTACAATGGGCTGGGAAACTGAAACTGATATACAAGTTCTCTTTCATCTATTGAAACTAAAAGGAAATAGATGTAGGCAGCTATCAGTACTGAAGCCAAAACAGCCTGGTATTGTAACAGGGATGTGAATTAACCTTGATGGTCTACTAGTATCTTATACACTAAGGTGGCTAGTGCATTATTCAAACATAGAAGTTAATGTATTAATGTATCTCAAGGCCCTCTATTCAATTATTCAGTATTATTCAGTATTGACATTCAGTGTTAGAAATTAATAAAGAAAAACCTTAAGGACCCCAGAACACACCCAATGTTCTCACACTTATAGTAACGCTACCATAAAAGTCTACATTCCTTCACACAAGCTCAGGGCTGTGGGGTAGCCTAATGGTTAAAGTGTTGGTTAGTCACGCTGAAGGCCCGGGTTCGATTCCCAACATGGGTACAATGTGTGAAGCCCATTTTCCAGTGACCCCGCCATGATATTGCTGGAATATTGCTAAAAGGAGCGAAAAACCATACTCACTCATACGAGCTCAACTTTGGGGCATGATGAAGAGTGAACGAATTTGTATTCCTCAAATTTGTTTTTTAAGTTTTGCAACATTTTTTGAGGGTCAAAGGGTCCTTCTAGGGCTGGGACAGGTAACCATGGTAACTCAGGTGCTCAGGTTGAGTGGGTACTGAGAAAGACCCGGGTACCCACAAGACTACCCGGACCTGTGGTAAGTCATCTGATTTTTTGTTTAATGACAAAAATGATCTAGAACCGTGATGGTTACACTACAAGTCGCTAATGTTTGCTTTTCTTTCTGACTAAGCACCCATTTCTTTTGACTTTAATATGTTTGAATAAAGATAAAACTTCAGTGTAAGCATGACCAGATCGTTTTATCCATGTATCTAAATACATCTTGCCAGTGTTATGGTCAAATAATTCCCAATACGACATGTTGTACCTATCTCTTGAGCAGCAGATACCTGGGTAGGGTCGGGTAACAGAAGGGTGGGTACCCCGGTTGTAAATTTGGACTCATCCCAGCCCTAGGTCCTTCTCATTATCCTAATGCTAAAAGTTAAAGACAGGGGTGGATTCAACATTCAAATAGATTCAAATACTGTCAGACACAACCTAAAGGAGACCTGTGAAGATCCAGGGTAGAATAGGTCTTCAGCAACCCATGCTTGCCGTAATAAGGCGACTATGCTTGTCGTATGAGGCGACTAACGGGATCGGGTGGTCAGGCTTGCTGACTTGGTTGATGCATCCCAATTGCCAGGATCGATGCTCATGATATTAATAACTGGATTGTCTGGTCCAGACTCGATTATTTATAGACCGCCGTCGTATAGCTAGAATATTGCTGAATGCGGTGTTAAACAACAAACCAACCAACAACAACCTCAAGGATCACAGGACCCTCATAATTCGAAAAATGGCATCAAATAAGTTGAGATACTTGTTTATTCTAGTATCGGTGATAAAGTGTGAACATGATAGCAAGCTGAAGGCACATTTATTTATTGAAGTGTTCCCATCTGTCCAAACTTCCGCATATTACAGTCTCCGGCAGATAACTTAATAACCTTTGCTGCTGGCAACAGTGTAAAGGTCAGATGGCTCTATACAACACACTGAAAATGTTACAATCCCCGTGATGTACGCTGCAACACAAAGCACTATCTACATGACAGGTACACCACATGGGATATGTCATTACCAGGGTTGTAAGTCATATTTGACAAGAACGAGGCACAGTATAGGATACTGTAATATATAGCAATACATCCTGATGATTGCAGAATATAATAAGCACATGAATGTCACTTAAAAGATTTCACACACAACATACATGGCGTGGATAATGAGGCTTATTAGAAAATAGAACAGCAACCATTTTCGTTATTGGTTGTTATGAATAGGTTAATACACTGTGTATATTGACATACTGTGAAATGAACTTTCTTTGAAGAAGATAAAGCACCCCAGTGATGGATGAGCAACATTTTCCTCACGTGATTGCTGGCAGAACATACACAATTAGAAATGTCATGAATATATGTTTATCAAAATCAAGATATTTACACCACGTATACAAAGTTCTCATGAGGAAATACTACATCTTGCTGCATAAATTACCATATTTTCATCACCACTTGCATTTGAAACACATCCTTGACCGATTATGTACACAAATTACTTGACCTGAGAACTGCATCCCTTCACGTTTTCCACTTACATTAAGCTGACACAACATGATATGACTGGAATACTGTTCAAAGCGGTGTTAAACTAACATCACTCACAGATGACTTGAATAGTTGTTTTAAAAATTTGTACATATAAATATATAAACTAACATGTCTCCTTGCTTTCATTTTTTAAATTTAATGAATTTAAGTATTAACTATTAATTTATTGTGGCCTAATCTACCTGCATTATTTCAGATTATTCATGGTTTAAGATTTGAGACAGTTGCTGAGTTTTGGCTGAAAGTATTCCAGTATAAAATCTAGGGAAATTAACCAAAGAGTCTTTAATTTTGATAAATGCTATTCAATGTTATTTTAGAAAGTTTATTTCTGGAAAAGAAGCCATTTAATTATCATGGTGAATTTCAACCAGATGGGGCCAGATTCTTATCAAATACCAATATTTATATCCTAAAAGAGACATTCAGTCATAAAAAAATAAAACCTAGAAATGACAATAAAACAGATGCTGATTATTGGACTTTAATCCAATCATTGTTCCAAATATTCATTTTAAAAATAAAGCAGGAAAAAATGGAATGAATAAATTAAAAAAATTATTCATCCTTCACAGCACCATTTTTCATTCTTCCTGTGAAATATCAACAGTTCTTTGGGAAGGCATACCAAATTTCCACTCAAGGGTAGGACTGTCCCTTATGCATAAATCTCCTTATTCCTTGTCAATAGATGTGTAGTAGTACACAAACATTGAAAAGGGCATCAGGTGTCTGAGGCAACTAAACTTTGTCCTGCTTGAAGCTTGTCCTTCATCCGTGTCACAGTATTTGTGATCGTTACTGTGTGGGTGTGGTGCTGTACAGCTATAGATAGAAGTATAAGACATTCGGTTGCCCCCTTTCTACTTGTTCTCATTGGGGCAAGCCCATGACACTCATTTCAATATGACTGGGATTTCACAATAACATTAACAAGACTGTCACAGCAGGGGCTCAATAGCCATAAGAATAACACACAATACAGAGAGGTTACACGTCAAAACTGTACATATAGGTTAGACCGTTCATGATAACCACCACACTATGACCTTATTACTAGATGACTTACGAAATGCTATGGAGTATGCATGCCTACTGCACTCTGCACCATCTTTATTGGATACATTCTGCAGAAGCACATATTTATGGGCGATACGTTCAAGAGCTGTCAAATGCGTTTATAAACGCATTTCGCCGTAGAGTGACACCCAAGTAATCGATCTGCCTGTTGCATATCTATACTCAGACAGCATTAAGAAATGACCACACCCTAAAAGAATACTCACTCCCTGGGTCAAGTCCCGGCGGGGGTGGGTCCATGTTTTGCATTTCAAATCCTATGGGTGGGGGTACTGCCATGCCTTGAGGCGGCGGTCCATCGACTGGAACCCGAGAAATGAAACTCCCATTCTGCCCCTCCATCGTCCAAGGTAAATCTCCGAGTCAGACACACAATCTGCAATATAGGCACGGTACCAATGAAATTCTACGGAAGGTCGCTGTAGTCTTAGAACACCTCCCAAACTAGACAGAATTCTCCCCACTGCCAAACCTACCCAGTCATCGCATACGCGAAATGAGTAGTTCAAACTCCCAGATAACAGTAAACTTCAAACATTGGTTGTTCAAGCTAATTAGAAAGAGAAGCGTTGATCAGTCATCGTTATGTAATACATGTCAACGCTCACCGGTATTGTTGGGATTTCCGCCGCTAATATCCAGTTAATCCTCAACTAAACACACTTTTCCCCGTGACATTTGCAGACTTGTTTATATCAAGTCGACTTGTTCGACGTCTTCCTCACACATAGGGGGCGCTTTATTCTATTTTTAGCACACGCATAGCTGGGGAAACACTCCGAGTGCAGTCTTAGCGCTGCCAGTGTTGACGACAAGACCACTTTGATGTGTGGTTGTTCATTTTACTCCGCTTGTAAAACTATTACACATATATACCAGACCTATTGCAGTTTTCTTATTGTCAAATGCCTGTTGCGAATGTAGAGAGCAGATTTTAGACCACGTAACGTTACCCTCATCGCATTTAATAATAAAGTCTTTACTTTGAAGCTGTGGACAAACGGTTGGCCAATTTAAGGATCTTTCGAATGTTTTAATCCCCGTCGAACATGCCAGGTGTGGCTTTATTTTCGATACAAATAAATGTATGGCTGTAACTACACATATCATGGTCATTGTCCTTGAAAGATTTTCAAATAGATCAAGCCACAAAAAATGTCAAAATATAGATTTATTTCGAAAGCACATATATTATATAATATTACTAGAATATAACATTAACAATATGAGCATTCAAAAATCTTTGAACCACACCTTAAATCAACAGGTTTTACGAAACTCGTGTAAGAATTCATGTATAAAACGCACCCTTGCAATGGAAATAAAAAGAATTCTGCAATTTTAAATCTAAAACACTATACAATGATACCCGTATCAAATACATCACTATCGAATAAACATTTTTTGTTTGTTTCATTTTTAGCCACTATCAAACATGGGTGTATAGTTTCTGTTGCCTGGCAGTTTGGTTTCGCATTGTCGATGTTGTGATCAACATATATACAATGAATATAGACATTATGTATTTTCCGTCAATTTTACTGTAAGTCTAAGCAGAGACTGAGCGTGCATTGACAGTGTTCAAGGAATAACTCATCTAGTTCTCTGTATGACACTGTTTCGAGATTGTTTGTCAAGTGCCGTAATCCCCAAACATGTTCTTTTCCGTTTGTTGTTTAACGCTGCACTCAGCGATATTCCAGATATATGCATGACGGCGGTCGGTAAATATTTGAGTCTGGACCAGACAATACAGTGATTGACATCATGAGCAGTAGTCGGGATAACGATGACATGCATCAACGAAGTCAGCGAGCCTGACCACCCGATCCCGTCAGTCGCCCTTTACGACAAGCACGGGTTGCTGAAGGCCAATAGTAACCTGTATCACCACGGGTGTCAAAACAGGTATATACGATGTTGGACAACGACGGTGTTTCACAACAACAGACTATATTCTTTGTGTGTTCACTGTGCAAAAGAAGCAGAACCTGTTTCCATCGTCAGTTGCAACAATAGACGGGTTGGTGGGGGACTAGCTCCACCGGGTGCGACTCGTCTCGACAGCTGAAAGCTAATGGGGTCGTTGTTGTTTTTTAGTGTTCAAGAGGTCGCCTTCTGCCTTTGCAATTTCTTTTGGGAAGCATGTGTGTGAGTGGGGTCGAGTTGTTTGACTGATATATAGGTCATACCCCATTCGTCAGATTCCCCCTCCCTCCAGTTGTCAGATACCCCAGTTGTTAGACTGTGGAGAAGAGAAGGCTTGTCAAAACATATGAGATTTACCTGTTGTGGTGATGGAACAGTCCTAATATAGACTTAATGCTCTGTATAATAGAGAATCTCACCCGAGTGTCTTTTGATATCAACTAATAATAATTTGATAAAAGTGGAAAAATTCCGAGGCTTGCCGAGGATTTTTGCCACTTTTATCAACGACTGTTGATACATTTGATATCAAAAGACACGAGGGTGAAATTTTATTTATCATCCAATATCATTCTTCCAACATTTTCAGTTTGTAGACAGTAATAAGCAGTGTCTTAAGTGTAAAAAGTACTGCTTACAGCTGCAGTAGCAGAGCCATTAGTGATGTCATTTGATTGTGACGTCATGGTAACCAATGACGTCACAATGGTCTGTAAAGCATTGTGATGCAATTTCATTGCAGCGATATCTACAGTGTAGATATCGCTTGATCTCACCCAAGCGATATCTCCTGTGGGAGACAGTTTTGGATGATAAATTAAGATCAAATATAAAAGGATCTATTAAGTTAATGGGAATAGTCGATCTACTCAAATACAATAGGATTATATATTGTTTTTGTTGTTGTTGCTTTATCTCCGTATAGATTTAACTTATGAACCATTTGATCACGAAAACAACTTTATTCGGTAAGTTCTCACCCCAGCTTCACCGAATATTTTTTTTTCAATTTACATGATTTTACTCACATTGTGCTCATTCTGCTCAATAAAAACATTTCAAAAGAGAATTCAGGTTTGTTGTTTTTCCTTGGCCCAAAATGTTACTTTTTTAGAGAATGACCTGCATGTGATTGTGATCATTGTTATAATTCATTTTCTCATCATTACATCAAATATGATAAGTCATTATCAATACTTTAACGATAATAAAGTAATCAATGAACTTTCATGTACAATTATTTCACAATCACTAGAACGATGCACTGATGGGTCAAATGGATCGGGTTGTCGCGCACAAGTTGTCTTTTAGCCGTCCCAGTTCGTTGTAATCTTTGAGGTAAAAACTGACTTGTGTCCATCAGAGAAGTGGGCTTAACGTCTCCATATCATGTCCCCACTTTGAGTGAGTGAGTGTGGTTTTACGCCGCTTTAAGCAATATTCCAGCAACATCACGGCGGGGGACACCAGAAATGGGCTTCACACATTGTACCCATGTCGGGAATCGAACCCGGGTCTTCGGCGTGACGAGCGAACGCTTTAACCACCAGGCTACCCGACCGCCCCTCCCCACTTTGAGATGTAAAACCGACATCCGTTTCATATTAATGAGTATGTGTTTTTCTGTTTTGCTTTGCTTCTTCCTCACCATCTTCCTCCTTTGAATTTCTGAACAAGGATGCTACTGATAAAAATCTACTAGATATTTTTAGTTATTATATTTTTCTATATTTTGTTTTGAATTGACTTCTCGCTTGTTATAACAAAGTTTGACTTACCGGGATAGCTTTATATATTGTAACGTAGCTGCCGTATATAAATTTAACATTAAACAAACGTTATACAAACCGCAACAGATGATATTCCAATGTTGTAATAGTGGTGTCTAAAGGGTTATCTGCTGCATAAATATATATATATATATATATATATATATATATATATATATATATACACCAGTGTGGTAGATTTTGACAGGCACATACATACTGTTGACTCGGACAATTTGCTATGCAGAGTTGTTCCCCTTTTCCGTGTCAGAATCCGCTGTGCGTGGTTTCGAAGCCCGATACGCCTTGGCTGTTTCATTGGTCATCAGTACCAAACCATTACTCATGTTCTGTGCAAAGCAGTGTTAAACCCGACTCACTCACCAACTCATTCGGAGTATGTGTATTAACGAAGCGTCAATTGTCGCTGTATGTCGCAAGACACTCTCTGTGAATTAACCGAACCAGAATGAGATGTCACAATGTCAATGTTTACTTCATATACTGTATCAAGCCATTGCCATTTTCCTGGCATACAGCGTCATGTTCGACGTTCGGAGGAGTAATGACTTGCTTTAATACCAGTAATATCATTAAAAAAAACCCGGGAAAACAGGAATGAGTGAGTTGGGTTTAACGCCGCTTTAAAAAAGTATTCCAGTTATATCGCGGCGTTGTCAGCTTAATGTGGGAGGAAAGCCCGAAGTGATGCAGGTCTCAGACTCTTACCACTTCGGTGAAACCCACGAGCACGGGTATGGTGCTGACAAACCTAGAAACATAATCGGGGCGAGACGGGATTCGAACCCACAATCATAGGTTTCTGGCGTGCCCAAGGGACGCAACTCTGCACAGTGAATCGCGGCGCCTGAGACAACTGGGCCACCCGTGCCCCCCTGAAAAACAGGAAAGAGCTGAACACGTTGTACCATATGGGGAATCGAACCCTGTCTTCGGCAATGCTTTAACCACTTGGCTACCCCACCGTACTTCAAACATTTCCAAACTATTCGGTAGCCTGTATCGAAAATTGATATTTTATATGTAACCTGCATTTCTATTAATATTAATTAACGCCCTACTGTCAGAAACCATTTATCACTTATGGTCGACCGACCTAGCGGGTCACTCTGTACTCCGATGTACTCCGTGTGCAACATTTATGGCAAAGGATGTTTGACAACCTACGTATATCACGACCTGAACTCGAAAGAATCCTCAACTAATATATTAAAAGTTATCAAAGTACAGCTTTCATGAGCAAGTTTTATGAAAGGTGGTGTGGTGAAATTGGGTTTAACGTCGCGTCCAAGATTATTACACTTATATAGCGGCGTGCATGCTCGTGTGTGTGTGTGTGGCTGCTTGTACTCGTCCGGACTGATGCCGTTTTATAGGGCTAGCTCACTGAGATACCATGCCTCAGTTTAACATGAATACCCAACTCAGACAATACCCCGCTCAGACACAGTATACTGACTCCTAGCCGACCAGTCCTTGTTTCAGACCCTTATGCCGAGCGCCAGACAGGGTAACAACAAGTACCACCTTTTAACGTCTTTTGGTATGACCGGCCGAGGATCAAACCCCGAACCTTCCGCTTTCCGGCTGGACGCTCTACCACTAGACCACATGACCCATCGACGCTATCCTCACCGAATCACACATATTTTATCGGACGATCTAAAATTTTCCTATGGGAGTATGGAGATCCACTATACCACAACGTTGCAACAGTGGTGATTTGCCTGTTTCTTTTTTAACCCTCTGGATGCCGAGGGTTGTAGAGGGGGACATATATGTCCCTGTGGCATCCAGGGGATTATGCCGAGCGCAAGACAGGGTAACAACACGTCTTTTGGCATGACGCGGCCGGGGATCGAATCCCAGGCCTTCCGCTCTCCGGGCGGACGCTGTACCACTATACCACGGAGGCGGTATATTATGAAAGGAACAAAAGACAAGGCAAAAAGTGTCAAGGTAATCGAATTGTCGAAGTAACGCTTTGAAAGTGACACAGATCAAAATAATTGGT